ATTCAGCCAGAGGATTTGGCTGATCGAGCGACGCACAGACGTCCTGCACCGAGGTCGACCTGCCGTGGTTGAGAATGGCGGAGGAGAGGATGAGGAGGGCGACGGCCGAGACGTGGAAGAGCGAGAGCTGGAAAGGCATCGAGTACCGCCGTTTCTGGCTGGCCGATGCCCAGCTCGTGCTCAGCTCTGTGATGGTGACGGAGGGGAAGCGCGGCATCCTGAGAGGCATGTCGGGCAACACAGGTATAAGAGGATAAAAAGGGGGAAGGGCGGGGAGGAGCGGAGCGGACACTTCCAGGTTGGAACCCGCTAGCCACCACCGATCGCAAGATAGTCAAGGAGAGTAAGAAACAAGAAGGGAGGGAAACATAGGAAGGGACTAGGAAAAGTAGAAGGAGAGAAAAAAGGATGGGGGGTTTTGCGAGATGCGACGACCAAAGCTTTTTGATCAAGAGCCAGAGGCTAGCTGTTTGGAAGGCGACGCTGGGATGCATTTGGATGCGCTGGGGATGCACTGGGGAGCGCGCTGCCAGACAAGACACAGTCCGGGATCTGTAACAGCTGCGACATCTGGCCGGGTCCAGGGTTACAAAACGGCACTGAGGCTTGCCGGTTTATTCGACTTGGCTCTCTGCCGTTTCGGATTGGTCGACGCGAGCGCAGCTCCCCTGCCGTGGCCCAAGCTCCCTGGGGGATTGGGGGTTTAGGGGGGGGCACCAAGGGCACTGAGGCAAAAGGGGGGAAAACTTCTGAGGCGTCCCATCCGCCATCCAGTCTCTAGCCATCAATGATTAGCGCCCCCGGAAGCTTGTGTTTCCTTTGGGCCTTTGGACGCCAGCTCAGGAAGCCGTGCGGGTGCCGTGCGGGTGCCGAGCACGGGATCAGATTGCGAGCGATGCCAAACGACCGGCTTCCAGGCTTCATCTCATCCCGATCAGGTCCCAGCCTCACATCTGGCCAGCGGGCCCAGCGGGCCCCAGCGCACGGAGGCGCGGAAACCCGCCTTGCCGGCATCAGTAGCCTCCCGTCTGCTCCCACATGCTCCCGCTCCCTCTGCACACACCGTTGTTGCCATCACGCGTTGGTGTTGCTGCTCTGCGTCTTCATTCGTCTCCAGTCGTACGGGCGCGGTAGCAATCATCACGCGGCCAGCTGTTGGGCCTGTAGCGGCGGGTGGGCGGCCAGGTCGGCCAGCCATTGCTGACAGCTGAGCCGGAATCTGGCCCTCCGTCCAGTCTATCGTGGTTTATCGCGGTCGTTGGGTCGGCACACCCGCCCGGATGTCGAGGGATCCGGTGCACGAATCGTTACGACCTGCCCGAATCTGGCCCTTGGTCGGGAAAACCTGCTCGAGAGCGTGCATTTTCCCCGTAATGCTCCCCTTATCACCTCCACGCATCCACAATACGTTTCCTTCTTGGCCTCGGCGTTTCCCAACCACGAGAAAAGGTGCGAGGGGAGCATGTCGGGAAACAATTGAGCGAGGCTCGCGAAGAATAATAAAGTTCTGAGGTGCCAACCCATCGTCTCCCGGCTCCCGTCCCCGCATCAGTCACCCACTCACCACTGGACCCAATACCTGCCCAGCCCAGCGCCAGGCACCCAGCAACCCAGCATTGAGCACCCAGCACCAAACCAGACCCGCGATTCGGGAGTCTTCCGCGCTCAGGCGGTGTCTTTCGGCAGAACCCCCGGATTTTGGGGTAACAAGCGGTTTGGCAGGAGGCGCGACGTCGTTTCTTCAGTTTTTTCGGGCTTTCGCAGCCAATGTCTTGAATTGGCACCCATCGGCACGCCATTCTCTCCATCGCCCGCGTCGCTTTCGCTCGCTCTCGCCCGAATGCCGACGTGCCGAATCCAGTTTTCTATCGAGAGCACCTCTACCAGTCTGGATTCGCTTCGCGCTGTGCTGCCGTCATACTGCCCTGGTCGGTTGGGTGATATGATGATTGATGTGAGTGGTGGTTGTGGTGGTGGTTGTGGTGGTGCCGAAGGGATGCAAACATGTTCCAGAAGGTGTGTTGGAAACGTTTCAGAGCCCCGCCAAAAGCCCCATCCGTTCTTCCATCCAATGTCAGCTTGTCAGCCATGCCCTTGACCAGCTCCCCCCCTTACCTAATCTACCATCGCATCTCGAATATCAAGTACTCACTCAGCCTCCCTGCTTGCCCTTCAACACATCCCATATCATCGCTTGGCAAACTGGCTGAAATACCGTGACACATCTGCTAAGCGCGCATCCCGGCAATATTTCGCCATCACTACAAGTTTAAACTTTTTTTGAAGGTATAAAATAAGGCTGAATATGAGGACTCTGCAAGTACGCAAACACTGGGCCTCCGACTTGATACTATGCGACCTTGGGGAGCTCAGAGTCTCCAGCCTTATGGGGGCCCTAACCCTTTATGAGCCTGCAAATGAGTCGGACCTTTGTACCAAAGGGCTTAAAAGTTCCCCACCCTCGGCGTTATATCCTGCTTCCCTCACAGCAGCACGTCTAAATTCTGCACTTGCTAGCATGGTATGCTTCTTCGTATTGGCGTAGATCATTTTAGGCACGGGACTTGTGGGATTACTCAGTCAAATTGGTCCCCAGGCACGGATTAGCGTTTGACGCCGCGCACTCGCTGCTGATTAATATCTCACCCAAATTCAATCGCTACCGCTGCTGGCGTCTGGCGGCCGCTCTTGTCGCCAGGGTCCCTAGGTCTAACTTCCGCGATGCAAGCGCGCTTTGGATACTGACCCAGCTGCGATGGTCCAGGAAGACAGCCCTTTATTCCCTTGTATGGCTACGCAGCTCAAGTTACTAGCTGTGCCGAATGAACGTCCAGACTCCAAATCTGATGCCATAAGCCCATGAGCCCATGAGCCTATGACTCCACTACCAGTCCCGAAGTCCCAACGCTACGACTTCGTATCAGTACTACACTAGTACTTCTTGCCGTCGCTCCTCCCCGACTAATACGAGTTAGTGAACTCAAAGAGTCCACCAGAGCACACGTGTGCTGCCTTGGACACAAGTCTTGGGGGCCTGAAACTCAGACCTGTAGTCATTGTCACTCTCCTTTTGCGCAAGCATGCCTTCCTCCGAAGAGATCGACGATGCGGAGCTTTCGGTTAGTAATAGGGCCTCCCCACACCCCGTGTTGCCGTAGCCTAAGTCACACTTTCCCCGACAACTTTGAAACCCGAAAAATCAAAGTGAACCCGACTGACAAATTCCAGCAACGACGGGAGCGTGGCCGTCTGGCCCAGAGAGCCTTTCGCCGGCGGCAGATCGACACCATCCGCGAGCTCAGGGAGGACAACCAGGCGCTTAGGGAAGCCATCGACCAGATCTCGCGGGCCGCGGCTGGAGGTTCAGCCCAGGCCCGCAGTGACCAGGCGAGCCTGCAGGCTGCTATCCAGAACGCGTTCCGCGTGGCAGGGCTCGGCCCGTCCGGAGCCCGAGCCCTCACCGGGGGCAACGACGGTGACTACGACGGCGATTTCCACACACCGGACCCGTCTGGTCAGCAGCAGCAGCAGCAGCAGCAGCAGCAGCAGCAGCACTACGAACAGGGCATGGTTGAAGGGGCCATAAACCCCAACATGGACTTCACCTCCCTGGGCGCCCCGCTCCTTCCTGCACCACCGCAGATGTCGACCTCGCTCACCACGGCCCAAAAAAGTCACCACTTGATGATGGATAATCCGAGCCTCTACGGTCAGACCACCAGGCCGGCCGTGCAGGTGACGATATACTCGCAGCTTGCAACCCCGTCGTCGCCCCCGCGCTTCTTGGCGTCTGAGGGCGGCGGCGGTAGCAATGCCCGAATGTCGCCGCGCATGACCTACGGGCTGTGGTTCGAGCCGGACCGTGCGATCCGCATCGTACAACCGCCACGCGATATTGTGCCGTACGTGGGCGACAGCATGCGGTCGCTGGCGGGTTCCATCTTTTGGACTGGTATGGGCTACTCCCTCAGCGCGCTGCGGACCGTGATTGAGGCGCGGTTCCGCAGCGCAGATGTTTCATATTCTTCCTCTGGTGATTATGGGCCCGAGTCTGGTGATGACGAGGCGGACAATGAATTTGGTCCCTCCTCGAGTGACAGCAACGCGGATGACGGTGCAAGAAGCACCAATATCGTCATCCTTGGCAGTGATGATGAGGATTACTATGATAATGATAATGAACAAGTCGTTGATGATGAACTTAACGACGAGGACGGTACTCGCCAGACTCGTCCAGGCAGCCAAAGTTGGAACCAGACGCGGACTCGGACGCAGAGTCAGTCTCACCCAGCGACGACAACACAGACACAAAACCCCCCACGACGAGCCCCGCCGCCGACACGCCCAACCCCATCGCCCTCAGCCCGTGCCCCTACCCAGACGCGGGAGCAGAAGCAGAAGCAATACCGCAAGCGCGTCCGCCAAGCCGCCCAGGCAGTCGAGCGCATGTTTGGCCCGACCTTGAGGCTCGGCCTGGTCTCGGACCAGACGGTCTTCGACATCATCCACGCACGCTTCGCGTGGCGGCGAATGGGGTGGATTGCGGGGGATCATCCGGGAAGGGACCCGGAGGCGCCGATGCGGCTACTTGCGGCGATCCTGCGCGACCTAGACCACACGGCGGACCTAGGCGAGGCGCGGCTATGGATGACGCCCGTCGACGTCGAGGCCTATGTGCGCGAGCGGCTGCGGGTGACGCCGGCTGGCTGGACCCCGTGGCAGGAGGCCCTGGCCGGGCGGGGGGGTGATGAGAAGCGGGCGGTCATGGTCAAGAAGCTGGTCTGGATGGTTGCGTATGCCGGCACGTGCTTTGGCGACGGGCCGCGCTGGAGGATAGATGCGCTGCATGCGCTCATTGAGAAGTGGGTGGAGGAGATCGCCCAGGGGCCGGACGGCGTGGGGGTTTGGTATTGATGATTTTATTTCGATGTCTGGGGATGTTGCAACGTCTATGTAATGACGTGAATTATTGTAAACGTTGGCATGCCAGGACAGGAAAAGGCAACTTGGCCGAGCGGTTAAGGCGACGCACTCAAGGATGTTTCTTCCTTACCCTTACAAAGGGTAGATTTGCGTTCTCGAAAGGGGCGTGAGTTCGAATCTCACAGTTGTCAGTCTTTATTTTTGCCGAAATCTTCAATCCTCGTCATATACACTGCCATTACTGATTTGATATTCGGCTATATGCTAGCCATTTTTCGGGCCGGGTACATCGGGAAGAAAGTGCTTCATCAGTGTCTTATTCCCCAGCATCTCCACCCGGCTGCGGTGCCGCAGCTCGACGCGCCGCGCCTTATCCGCCTGCTTAATTCGGGTTGTGAGCACTGAGCGCTGTTCAGCCGACGACAGATGAACAAGACTTGCTCGGTCGTTGACGCTGAGCTTTGCTAATTGGCCCGCAAGAGAGCCGCCTCGTTTCTCCTGCCTGGTAGCCACATGTAGAGATTGTGTGTCAGCTGTTGTAGAATCTGGGTTGGCACCCGGCATGTCAGGTGTCAGTGCTGCGGGAGTTGCTGCCGACGAGGTATGTTGGCTGCGTGATCGGTGTTGTTGGCGACCTGCTTGTCCGGCCGTACGGTGGGAGACGATCCTCCCCGAGGGAAGCCGCGCAGAGTCGCTATCAACGTGTGAGACGAGGTTACTCGAGCCGGGTATTATCGGTTCAAGCCGGTCGGTATTTTCATCGTCATCGGGATTGGGGCTGGGATTCTGAGTGAAGTCGAAAAAGTCGCGGTATTCGGATTCTGGGTCCTGTAGGTTCAATTTGCAATGGCTTTTCCCCGACATGTGTTGTTGAACCGCTTCGACTGTTCTTCGCTGCGACTGGCAGTACAGACACTCGCGATATCCGAAAATGACCAGATGGAGGTAGCGAACTAAGGTTTCGAGGTCGACGGCAAGATGGTCGAGGTCTCTAATAAAGAGGCCGTGGGCTTTCTGCATGTGGAGCATACTGTCATCGAATGTGTCGCACGTTTCATTGCAGAAAAGACACTGTTCCGCGATAAATTTCGTGGGCTTTGGGTCTGAGTTTTCTGTGACAGACTCATCGCTCGAGGATGAAAGCTCTTCCTCCGTGTTGTCGCCAGCCCCCGGGCTTTTGCTTCCGGCGTCCTGTGTTGGTAGAGAAACGGCAGGGGCAGCCAGCGAACTTAGCCCAGCAACCCGGCGCCGCAGATTCTCGACACTGCTTGCGTGTTAGTGGATAGCTTGTGCAGTTTGACACTGACTTTGCACTGCTTGCTTACTGCCATTGTGTTTTGGAGTGAGCTCGTCGGTCATCGTCGCTGTCGAAGGAGGCGTTGCAGGCACCGCATTGCTTTGCGGACAGCTTGAAAGTCGATGTCGAAGCCATTATGATTTGATGCGATGTGATGGCGACGATAATTGATGGGAGGGGATGGGTTTCCTCCAACAATATACCTAACTTGAACTTGAAGTGGAGGAGGGCAAGCTAAGGTAGGGTCGTACCTTCCTAAGGCAGGTAGCACAAGTTGCCCCTCAAATGCGCTTACCGGTAAAATCGTCCTGAACTATGCCACCCCATTGGACCTGGGGAGCTCGTGGGACAGGATCGCTGCGGCACCGTGACGCGGGACCGAGGTGACTCAGCCTGGTCGTATGAGACGAATCTGGGCGCTCACAATTGCTATTCCCGGGGTGCCTGATTTGCCCTGAGCTAGGGTGATCCTACTCGTTCACTAGGACCTGCTCACCGCGCAGTGTGGATCCCCTAGGACCGGCACTAGAAGCCTCCCACCAAACTCTTCATCACGCACAGTTTCTTAGTGTTGATACCATATACTTCACCCCCGGGCATGTCAAAGAGATCATGCCAAGACACACGAGACGCCCAGGAAGCCCCGACATTCCATCAAAACATTACAAGTCCTTCACCGCGGGAGGAAAATCTCACTGCAGAGATTCTCGAAAGCTTCGTACAACTATCGCTTGACATCATCAGCACTGATTCTTCAGATTCTGGCCGGCGTCGCTCGGTCGTCGTCACGCACGCCAGCAGCGACGTTCCCGTTGAGGGCGAGATCACTTGGGTCGGCCCTGGCTCACCACAATCCCTCACACCCACCTCGCCGCTCGTCGCCTCCCCGGGCTCTGACGACGCACACCGCGTTTCTACCGCACTATCCCAGTCTCATTTGCCTCACCCTAACAAGCTCTTTTCGCCCAGCCAACACAATGAACTTCCAGTGTAGATTTTGGGGCGCCGAAAAGAAGCATTGAGTCCGCTGAGGAATACTTGCAGGATCTTGAGGCTCAGCTGATCATCAAGCAAATCCCTGATGACAAGAGAGACACGGTGTAGATGTCGCAGGGACCCGCCAAGCTATGGCTGCAAAATGAAGTCACGTCTGAGCAAACACTGAGCAGCACCTGAGCCAGGGTGAAGATTCGTCTCATAAAACAGAGATGTCTCCGAGAGCACAACACCACACCAAGCACAACCTTTGATGACTCGCCGATACAAAACCAATTCGAACCACCCCGTTTTGTTTCCACATTCCCGGATACCTTTAATCCTGGACACGGCATCACGTGTTGACTCACCGAGCTTAAGTGGGTAGGCCAGATTGCTTTGGAATGCGAGTTTTTATCTAGCGCTAATTCTTCCTCACAAAGTGAAGTCGATGACACACACTCCAATGACATACCAGAATCCCACGACTGACAAGTTTAACTAAACCCCCCCAGAAAGATTTTTTGTGGGCCGCTCAAATGCGATGATAATAATACACAACCTACCTAGGTAGTTTTGCTCACCTTGAAGTAAGCGCCCCTCCGTTGACACTCGCCAACCCGGACCATTGCAGCTTCGCCGGCACCTTCTTCGAGATGACCGGGAGCCAAATGGTATCGTAAAGGCTGGGACCGCCATCGGCCGCCTTGCTCCCGGGCTCCAGGCTTCCGAGCTGCGCTTGGTCGGTGCAGCACGGGCTGTTGGGGCCCCAGAAGGGACCAGCCGACCACGCGGTCCACCCGATGTACTCCTCATTCTGCGACATGTAGTCCAGCATGCTGTTCAGCATGGTCACGCAGCCGGTCGTGTTGGACCCGCCGAACTCGGTAATGAAGGCTTTGAGCTTGTTCTCCTTGAGCCACGCAGTCACGCCAGCCAGGTTGGTGACGGGGTCCTGAGTGCAGGCGAGATGGCCTCCGCTGAAGTCCTCGTCGAGGTACTCGTGGATGTCAATGGCCGTGTTTTTGAGCGGGTCGCTGAGCTTGTGAATCCAGTTGCTGTTGGCCTCGGAGCCTCCCTTGGTCCAGTAGTGGCCGCCCGACCAGCTGTTTCCGGGCGCAATGATGAGGTTCTTTGCTCCCGTCTTGCGGATCTCGTCAATGGCGATCTGCAGGTTTGCCAGGTTGAGCGAGCTCGGCAGGTCATGCGGCTCGTTCATCAGGCCGAAGATGACCTTCTCGTTGTCGACAAAGCGCTTAGCTAGCTCTCCCCAGAAGGCGCCGAATTGAGCCGTCGTGGCCGCGGTCGGGTCCGATGTGTTCCCAATCACACTGCCGCTGAAAGGCTGCGAAGATGGGTTGTTGTAACGCATGTAGTTGTGGGGATCCAGGATTGCGTCTAACACAAGGGTTAGTGAGTTGCGGGTAGGATGCAGGGGAGGGCAGACGCACAAGCGCCCTTGGTCTTGGTGATGTAGTCGATGGACTGCTTGAAGTGGTCGAAGTGCGTCTCATTGAACTTTGCTCCCAGGCCATACGAGAGCGGGCACATGCGCTCGAGCAGGAAGGCAACGCGGAACAGATTGACCTTGTGCTCATCGGCCATGATATCAACCCCCGAGGCGCTGGTAAAGGCGTAATCAACACCGAATCGCCCTGGCAAGCCTGTGCCGACCTGAGCCGTAGCGCTCCATGCGCCGAACTCGCCGCCCGCTTCAGCGACACCGGCATAGAAGATGGTTGCCGACGCGCCGGGAAGTAGGGCGACGCACGCCGCCGCCGCCGCCGATAGTGAGAGCTTCATGGTGCTGGACAGTTGTTGAACCCGGGGTCGTCGTCTTGGCGAGTGAGGCTGATAGCACAAGGAGAAAGCCTACCTCCCACAAGAAGTACTCGGCGTGCTTGGCTGATATTTATATGAATGGGCATTGTCTCGATTCGGATCTAGCCGACCTAAGGACATGGACTCCTCTCACTCTACGAGTCGACAACTATCTGCATGAGGTATCTAGGCTATAGGGTTGCACGGGAGGCGGCATCCACGCGCCGCGACGACCCGAGCTCTCGTCATTGAGAGGCGGTTTTCCCGTCTCGCGTAGATAACGGGTTGATAAGTGGCACAAATTGGAAAAGTTCGGCCCCTGCAGCATTGCAGTCAAAATAATTCGAACAATACGTCGAAATTGAGGGGCAGCGCAACTTCCGATGGCAACAACCGATTTGGAGGGTCTTGTCACATTGGAAAGAGTAGAATGCCCGGGCTGAGTTCTGCCTCAGCGAGGTAATTTGGGCGATGCGGGCGCCGGGCGGGATGAGGGCGGAGGAGGGGACTCCGGGTAGCATTCTTGGGCGTCTTCGGAATTAAAGTGTAAGATGTATGGAGTGGGACCCAGACAGCCACACTATTACCTATGAATGTAATTTGTAGCCTGCAATTGGAACAGGGTGTAATGGTATGCTTGTGGCTCAGCACATCGTCAGGGGTCGGGTCTATGGTCAGTCACCCTCTTCGCTTCTGAAGGAAGGTCCCAGTTCAAATCTGGATCGGGTTTGTTTTTTTTTGGTTTTTTTCTTTCTCTACCTCTAGCGTCACCTGTTCCCTGTTGTGGGGTGTGACCTGTGCCCCCTGCCTTCCACATCTCAGCCCCAGCCAACTGCACCACATCTTACCTCAAAAGCAAAGTAGGCGACAATATTACCGCGTTCCTCCCAAATTTAAAAGGCGGTACGTCGGGCTGACAAACGAAGCAGCAAGTTCGGGCGCACGAACTAGTAGGCGCCCTTCTCTTGGTGGTGCCAAGACTCAAAGTCGGTCGAACCGAATGCCGAACGGTGACGAATACCGTGCCGCCGACGTTCAATGCCACCACGATGATTAATATTCATCAGGTACCTAAGTCAGACCCTGCATGGAGACCTG